TGAGATTTTCTCGTCAAGACCTTTGATCCGCAGCTGCGCGCCACCCACGAGCAGGCACTGATGCAGTGTCACCTTCACCTCCTCCGCGAACGCGTCCATCAGGCGCAAATCCACCGTCACAGTAATTGGCCCACTGAACACGACAGCCTTGAAGCACAAAGTCGCCTGCTCGCCGCCAAACGTCACCGATTCTGTCACCACGACGTTCCTCAGGCAGTCCTGTGGACTGCTAGCCTTTGCAAACGGGACGCCGGACGGCAAGCACGCAGCACCAGCGCCCCCTCGCAAGCACTGGCAGCTGCAGCCCGAGGATGACGACGTCAGCGGCCGAAAGCAGTTCAGCGCCGCCGCGCAGCTTTCGCATGGCGCAATCTTCACGAAAGCAAGGCCGTAAGCCGCGTAGTTCTCGGCGGTGTGCAGCATTGTGCGGCCGGCGCGGTTACACTGCACGGACACCGCGCCATTATTTTTTAGCAGGGGGCCGGAGACAAGCTTTCTGCCGGTCACAGTGCAGCGCACAACAGACACTGCCCCACCGCGTGCCACCGTTATGGAGGAGAGGGATGCCACAAAGGACGCAGGCTCCACGGTCCACACACGGTATAGATCCAGCCAGCCGCCATCCTCAATCGTCCCACCACCGGCCGTCACCAGAGGGCTCTTTAGACGCCCGTCAACCCCGACAAAGCGCACCACCGACTGAGACACGGTGAGAGAGTTCCCAAGTGCAAAGCCACCGCCGCTGCTCGTAACCGACACGTTCGTCAGAGAAAACACGGACTGATGCTCCAACGTAAAATCGGATGAAAGCGTCACGTACATCGCGTGTACAGTGGAATCGCCCGACGCCACCAGTGAGACGCTGTCGAGCACAATCATACTCGAACTTAGACGCGCGTCACCCGCAATGTGTATTGTTGCCCCGCCCTCAGGGACGAACGACTTCAGCACCGTGTTGATCACATGCAGGCTCGAATGGATAAGCGATATCGCGTGCAGCACAAGCGGCGATGCCACCACCTCGCTCAGTCCGCTGATTAAAGTGTAGTTCACGCGACCCGTCATCGTAATCGCGGAGTCACGAATTGTCACATTTGTGTACTCCGGCAGGTTGCGCGTAAACACCAGTGAACAGAATTCCCCCGCCAGCCCAGTCACGTTCACGGCAAGACTCCGGCCACCCGCAGGTGCGCTGGTGTAGCCCCGCACGTAGATCTGCGATCCCTTCCGGCACACGCAGTCCTTCAGGTCGATTCGCAGCGACCCAGGAAGCATCGCCGCAACGTCAAACACCACCGACGCCCCGTCCGTAAGTTCCACGCCCTCCAAGAGAACGCTGTCCACGGCACGACCAACAGTGACCGAGTTGCTAATCCTCCCGCCATGCAAGCGAAACGGAATGGCGTGCCCCACAGGTATCGCAGTGGAGAAAAAAAACAACACAACAGCGAGCGGCAGCAGGGGCATGCGTCTTCGAGGGGGGCGGTCAGCCGCGCAGGATGCCCCCCCAAGTTTCCCTTGGATGCACCTTACTGCCGGACATGACCCGTCGCTCCCCCACTGCGGCATTGTTTGCTGTGAAGCACAACCGTAATTCATAACTCGTTTTTTCTCTGACTTTCACACTGTTACGTTCCAAAAATGAAAAAAAAAAATTTTTTTTCTGTTTTCTTATTGTTTTCCTCTTTTTTTTTCTCCTTTGTTTGTTTGTTGGTTTATTTGTGTGTTTGTTTGTTTGCCTGTTGTACACCAAGTTGACGCAAATAAAAAAAAAGCTGGTGGTACTTGTTTGCCTGTTGTACACCAAG